GCACTGTAATCAGCGCACACTCCTTACCTCTCTACTTTCTATGATCATAATGACAAGTATGGGGGGTAAATTTGAAGCATGACTGACTGCAAATACCGGCATTTATGTGATTCCTTGCTACAGGATTATAAAGACTCCCGGATGGCCACAAACTAACATTAAATAAGTTTGTACTGCAACGCCATATACCTTTACATAAGTTTGTACTGCAACACCATATACCTTTACATAAGTTTGTACTGCAACGCCATATACCTNCCATATACCTTTACATAAGTTTGTACTGCAACGCCATATACCTTTATATAACTTTGTACTGCAACGCCATATACCTTTACGTGGTTTCTTTTGAGTCACTGTTATTGTTGTTTTAATTTTTTTATTTAGTTTTGAATTATTTTCTATTGTCATTTGAACTAGTTTAGTTTCAGTTTTGGGGGGTTTTGTTAGTTTTTATTTTAATGATATAAATCTATTTAGATATATATTTTATTTTATACTTTAGTTTAGGTTTTAGTAATTTTATTTCTAGGGACAGATGAAAACTTGTAGGACTTTGCTTCCTACAACAGAATATCGTGATGTCATTGGCTGTTTCTATGATTCCTTACTCGACAGTCCTAAAGATAAAAAAGTCATTACTTCAGCTAAATAGTATTTAAAAACAATAACGGAAAGTATTTGCCGTTGTTTCATTTGGTTTCGGAAGCAATATTTATAGTTCATGTTCAGTTGTAGTTTTAATTTTATTTTTGTATCGTATTTTATTTCAGTTTATGGAAATGTTTTTGTTAATGATAATCATGCCTTGCGTACCATAAATACATCAGTATTTAGTAAAATTCTTGCTTATTTTTATAACATTCATACCACACTTCATAAACGTAGGCCTAACTTTAAGTGGTCTTCAGCTCTGCCCCAGGCCTGACGTCAAAGTCCATGCTTTCCTGGTGCGTTGGCGCTAGAAGTATGAACATTCAGGATCGCAGACGGTCCAGCACTGCGTTGCGCACACTGTACCCGCTGTCGCGTGAAGTATGAAGCAGCCTTCAGGAAGCTGCCGTTGATTCATGTCTTCTGGCCTCACAGATGGTGTGGAGACCCCTTCATCTCCTCCGCCTCCTGCTTGTCTCCCTTTTGCTCTCCCTTCTTGCTGCTTTCTCCCCCCTGCTGGCTAATGGCTTCGGGCCCCTTGCTGAGGTTAACCTGTCTGTCTCCACCATTATGATGCAGGAGTTGAAGTTAAAGGCTCACTAACACTGTAGAACCTGGCATATGATCTTTAAGGGCATCGTCGATTTGAGAAATTGTGTGTAATAAACTCGCATACAGTATATGTATTGCCTGAGGAAAATTGGACCTGTATAGGTGTCTGCAAGATGTTGTCATGCCTTCCTTACTCTCTATTTAACCATAAGTTATGAATGAAAAGGTTTTTTCACGTTGTTCTGCTGAGAAAAGACATTTGGCAAGAGGGGGTTCTCAAAATGGAAAAGACAATGAAAGAAATGAAAAGTGAGAGATGGAGGGAACATGACCAAGGACAGATACAGGGACAAATATGATAGACAGAGGAAAGATGTAGGTGGTCAGAAGCAGTGACCTGTACAGACTTTTTGAGAGGCAGGTGACTAAACGGGGGTGTGACCGAATGGTGTCAACCTGGGAGGTTGTCCCACTTGGTTCCTAGTATGCGTGATTGTCGCACTTGGGGGACACTTTCATTTGTTCAGGTGAAAGAGGCAGATCCTCAGGCACTGCCAGCCCTCACCCCCCCTCCATATGCCTGGTGGGATGGGACCTGTGATGCGCTGAAATGAGGCTCTGAATGTTACTCTAGATGGAATTACATGCTGTCAGTTGTTATGTGCTGTCAGTCATTATGCGCTGTCAGTTGTTATGCATTGTCACTTGTTATGTGCTGTCAGTTGTTATGCAATGTCACTCATTATCGCATAATTATGCATCATGTGCTGTCAGGCCTTATGCACTGTCACTCATTATGTGCTGTCAGGCCTTATGCGCTGTCACTCATTATGTGCTGTCAGGCCTTATGTGCTGTCACTCGTTATGTGCTGTCAGTCATTATGTGCTGTCACTCGCTATGTGCTGTCAGTCCTTATGCGCTGTCACTCGTTATGTGCTGTCAGGCCTTATGCGCTGTCACTCATGTGCTGTCA